GAACGTAGCCAATCTGTGGGATTGTTCAGTCAGATAATACGCCGTCATCCTGATTGGTGACATTAAATGTCATGTCGGAGTCACAATCCAAGGCTGTCGCTATGTTAAGCCTGTTTTTATGGGTTCTGGTGGTTTTTCCTACAAACCTGTCGGATAGCAGGTTTAGGATTGTTAAAGGTCGATCATAGAGTCACCACTGTACTGTAAATATATGACGTATGGGATCACCTAATCAGTGGCATATTCATCTGAGCACACCACTATGTACAGGTGTGAGAATGGAAGCAGAGGAAGAAAGACAACAGGATGTCCTGAAAGACAAACTCTTTGGGAAACTGACCCTTTAAAGTGTGGTTAAGAACTTTATACAAAGAGATAGTTATGGTGGATCCTCAGTTCATCAAGAGACTGGTTTATGATTGGTTGTGTGATGAACAAAGTCCAAAGTTTAAGACTCAGTGTCTATGGTATGGCTGTTGGTGTATCTCACTCACCATCGTGTCTCGGCCTATCGGAGCAGAGAAGACATACTCCAGCTGAAAGACGACTGCCAGAGCCTGATGCTTGGTCAGCCTGAGCTCCAGGCTGCTGCGAAGGCCCAGCGTCTGAGGGAGGGACGATGAGCTGAACACAGACACATAGAGAAGGATGTGAGGCTGTTACTGAAGAAATGACAAGGCTTCATTAAAACGTGCAGCGTCCCATTATTCCTTTTAATGCATTTGTATTTTCTATTAGAAGTAAACAAAATCAATGTGATGGAGGATTTACAGCCGCTCGCTAAACGCTCCCTGGCGAGCGCCGGCCTCCTGTGTGAGGAATGGAACAGCGCTCTAGGTGTTCCTCATTCACAGTTTGCATGCACCATGCTGCTGAGGAGCGCTAGCATGTCACGAGGTGGGGCCGAGTGCCTGTTCTTCCTTCGCTTCATGGACTCTCTGGAGTCCTTTTGTTTCCACTTTGGCTGCAGTCTGAATCCATCACAAGCAAGACAGACGCTCAGCGTTTAACTGGCAGCATGATTATTGTTCGTGTTATCATACTAAACCACAAGCACTTCATCTTATGTCAGACCACTGATGATCACTGTTGTCATATAATACAGTCGTCCAGCGCTGATGTTGGTGTGTTTGGATGTTTGTGCCACCTTCCTCTGCTCTGAGGACGCCCAGATAATCATCTACACAATAACTACATTTAGCTATTGTCTGATTTGAAACAGTCACCACAGTAGATTTAGATGTGCTGTGGAAAAGGGGGTCGTCTCGCTGTCTCTGTGTCGTGAGTTGAGCTTTACAGCATTTTTTTTTTCTTTTATTTTCCTTTTGCATTTATTTGATAGATTCATGCGATTCTTAGCTGCGAGGTCCTCTGCGTCATTATTTCTTGAAACCGTAACAATGATCTCACCTAATTATCCTGACAGGCAGAGCTTAAATAAAAGCTCTGGCGCTGACAGAAAGGTGTGGAGGAATGTCATAAAACACGCTCAGGCTACGCGGTGGCTTCTGCCATTTCTGTCCAGCGACAGCGTGGGTGTGCACACCATTATACTTTCAACCAATTAGGGATTTTGCAGACAGTGCTGTCAACACAAACACATTCCTTCACACCCCTAACAGTGGGTATCATTAAGATAAGACACAGTTAGAGTGCGTCGAGGAATCAGAATTCAGACTTTACGATGTAGATGAGGAAACATCACATTTATGAACTGGAACATGCTCAGTCTGACTACTTCTGTTACAGCAGCCTCTACGTCACATTATTATAGTGAAGCTGAATGAAAACACACAGCTTGCATTACAGGCATTCGTTAGGGCTGCTTCCTCAAATAGAGTCGGTTCTGATTCTTTGAGCCAAACGTTTGTCTATTCACGTGACAACATTCACTGCGGTCGTGGCTACCTGGTGAGAGAAGCTAAACCTGAGGGGCAGTGATAGACCCGATCCCAGCCTCAGGACTTACAGACGTTCCCGCTCAGTGCTGGAGGACTGTGGGCTGTTTTACTGTTAAATCATGAGGCACATGTGGGTCTTCTGTGATTCTGCATATCAGCAGAACTTCCTGAGGGATGTGCCCGATGTTCACTGTGGAATTGGTGACATATAAACATGGCTGTTTATTACAAAATGTACACAAAGCAAACACGGTGCATGAAGACATCCATGTGGAGTCTGTCTTTCACAGTGACAGCATCTGGGTGCTCAACGTTACCCCTTTTCCACCAAGAAGAACCAGTTCTATGCTGGTGCTAGGGCCAGTGATTAGCTGGTTCCAATCTAAGAACCGGTTGCTTTTCCATTGGCCAGGAGCCCAGTTAGAGCCATACGTCACTGCAATTTTCTGGGAGAGCTTTTTCTGATTTTACCTAAGTTTTATGTCTTTTTAGCTTCCGGCTTTATTTGTGTGCTTTCTACTTTTATCAGTTATCCTGTGTGCTTATTGTATTTTATTTTTTAATTTATTTTTATTGGAAATAACTCTGTAACATTTGTTTTGAAAAGTGCTCTATAAATAAAGTTTATTATCATTATTATTATAAGACAGTTGCCCCATTCCTCCGTTCTAATACCACCTCTGATGATGCGCTCTGGTGAAGACGTTTAAAGTGTGGCAGCATTTTGAACTTTTGAAGAACCCTTAAAAAGTTAAATGCAAACTCTGATAGGGAGAATTTGCATATCTTTCAACAACAACAGACGTGGAAAAGCACTTGAAAGCAGTTAAGTTGCTTAGAGAGGAGCGATGTGGGATACTTTATGGCAGACAGTGCTGTGAATTTAGTTTAAAATGTTAGTTCATTTACGTGTTGTTTAACCTTGTATAGATATTTATTTATATATAGATCCTAATGGGCTTGAAGAGCTTTAGTTAAACAGAAAGAAATGTGCTGTAGAGGCTGCAGGTGGATCAGTGGTTAGCACCGTCGCCTCACAGCTAGAAGGTCGCCGGTTCGTGTCCCGGTGAGGACACCCGGGATCTTCCTGCGTGGAGTCTCCATGTTCTCCCCGTGCAGCGTGGGTTCTCTCCGGGTTCTCCGGCTTCCTCCCACAGTCCAGAAACATGCTGAGGTTAATTGGTGATTGTAAATTGTCCGTAGGTGTGAATGTGAGTGTGCTTGGTTGTCTGTCTCTAAGTGTAGCCCTGTGATAGACTGGTTACCTGTCCAGGTGAACCTGCCTTCACCCTCAGTCAGCTGGGATAGACTCCAGCCCCCCATGACCCTGGTGAGGATGAAGGTGTAGAGATGATGGATGGATGGATGGATGGATAGTGAATGGCTGAACACAACTCAACAAAATCCTGATTCAGGTGCAGATCAACTCTTCCTAAATGTCTTCTGGAGGTATTTTGTGTTGCGGTTTTGCAGCTTAATACCTAAGAAGTGTGGCAACAAGCCTGCAGGAACAAAATGCTCCAGTGACACACCTGCACAACAAAAAGCACAAAGCTCTCGTGGTCAGTGGCTCCCTGATGCACCCACCCAGCTCGTTACTAGAAGCTGCCGCCTGCTGTTTACTTGAACTGGTCAGAGTTTTGCTTAATCACAACATTCCTGTTAGAAAATAATTACAGTGATTTAACAGGTTGCGTTGGGGTGTATCTCGAGATGAAAAACAAAAAGGATTTATTTTTTATTTTATTTTAACACTTGGCACAGAGCCATTAACTAAATCGGGGAACGGTCCTAATCCTGAGTCGGTGCAATACTTAAAAAAAAGAAATCCTCATCCCTGGAATGATTATTAGACTCAGGATTATGTTGGGATGGTGGAAGCAGGGCTGTAATTCTCACTCAGCATCACTAGGAGTTCAGTTTCCAGCTGTATTCCACCAACTGAGGCCGACGCTGACGACCTTACAACAGCACATCCACGCTGACAAGGTTAGAATTAAGTTTCATGGCGTCTGAATAAAAACCCAGGGGCAAAGGCAGCAGGACTCGTATCTCCTTGATTGGTTATGGAGTACAAGCATACATTGGAATATAGTGCAAGGCTGTTTTATGAGGGTGCAAACCGGTATGGCACGGTGCAGTGTGTAAATTATGAGGCTGGGGTGGGTTAATGCATGGAAGGCCTTATCAGGAGGACAGCTTCTGCTCTTTCAGCAAGGTCAATGGACAATCTACAAAGTCATACGCAAACATAAACATGTTTGTTCCATTAAAATAAAATGAAAAATGTCACATCTGCATCACTAAAGGTGAAAAGAGGTGATGTTTGAATACTATATGTACATATGTATGTATGAGACTATCTGCTACTCAGATGAACTGGTTGAGTAAAAATGCTAAATGATCTGTTTGTACTTTTTAGGGATTTTTGATATTTTCATATATGATCTTATTGAACTAATCATGTTACCTTAGGTGGTGTCTATACAGCTCAAAATGTGTTTGTTTCCTCTCTGATGGCAAAAAAAAGAAAGAGAGAACACCATCCATCCATCATCTCTACACCTTCATCCTCACCAGGGTCATGGGGGGCGGAGTCTATCCCAGCTGACTCAGGGTGAAGGCAGGTTCACCTGGACAGGTAACCAGTCTATCACAGGGCTACACTTAGAGACAGACAACCAAGCACACTCACATTCACACCTACGGACAATTTACAATCACCAATTAACCTCAGCATGTTTCTGGACTGTGGGAGGAAGCCGGAGAACCCGGAGAGAACCCACGCTGCACGGGAGAACCACGCAGAAAGATCCCGGGTGTCCTCACCGGGACGCCAACCGGCGACCTTCTAGCTGTGAGGGAACCGAGCCAGCTTGGAGCTCATAACAGAGAATGACACTGTTATATGAGGTATGAACTCCACACAAACACACAGTGGATGTTGAAGAAGTGAAGTGTGAAGCGAATGGACACTAAGGACGAATGATACGAAGAGTCTGCACGCTAGACTTTTTTTTTCGACATCTCAGAACAAATATAACACACAAGTGAAATTCATACCAACCAAACTTTTTCAAAACTACAGTTTTCGCTGACTTTACTCAACAAACTTTCCTTCACTTGCCTAAAAGCAAATGTACCAGCGTCTGGAGAGGCTGATGAAATACCAGAAAAACAAGTAAGTCCTGAAAACATTTGTTCACACCTGTGGATTCCACCATCCCCTGAAGCCGACGGTCAGACCCACTGCTCACCTGTCCTTGACCAGGGTGCTCTGTCTGGAGGTGCTGCCGGTGCGTCCTCTGGCTAGATGCTCCAGCACCACCACTTGGGGCTTCTCCAGGAAACACCAGCCATTGTGGACGCCGACGTGGAGCCTTCTTTCCTGAATGACGACTGTTGTTGGAGTAACATCTGGTCCCGGCTGTTTCTGAGGATCAGTTAGAAAACTGGAGTCACCACACAAACAGATTGCACTCACAGACCACATGAATCTGGGCGCTTTGATTAAGTTTATAAGCCCAGTCCTTTAAAAACAAGCCTTAACCTTCACACAGGGTTGCATACATGCTATACCTTCACAGGATCGTCCAAAATGACAAGTTTTAAATGTTTTCAATCGGGAACATTGTCCACTACTTTAGGGAAAGTCCTCCAATTTCAGGTTTAAAAAAAAATTTAAAAAGGCATTTAGCTTCACTATGAGACGACTGAAGCTACAGGATATGTCCCCATTTAAAGCTAGGACACTGGGCTTCAGGTCACTGTGCATGTACAGTTTGAAGGAATGCTCTTGTCTAACATCGTGATGCTCTTGTGCACGAGGCCAGGTCCATAAATGGTTTAGCGTGAAACAACTTGACTGTTCACAGCCCTGGCCTCAGCGCCATCCAACATATCTCGGATGAACACCAACTGTCCACGGTGGCCAGCCTCAGCGATGCTCCTGTGGTCGAATGGGAACGCATCCCTTCAGCCAGGTTCCAGATTCTAGTGCTTCCCAGGAGGATAGAGGCTGTTACAACAGCAGAATGATGCCCGTGGTTCTGGCCCAACGTGGTCCAATCACACGATGCATGCAAATGGATCCTGCCTTTTATCCGTTGGGTTGTTTATCTGTCTGAAATCTCAAAAATATTCCACAAAGAAAACGCGCATATCGACAGCTTGTTCCAGTTTGCTCCTCATGCTATCCTCAGGTTACGTATCTATGGAGAGGTTTGGCATCTGATCCAGTGAATACTTTTTCTTGCCTCGGTAAGAAAAGTACATCCAGGGAAATCTTTAATATTTGCTCAGCGACATTGCTAAAAATATGGTCAACTTCGTGCAGAGGTATCAGTGTCAGGCATCAAACAGCTTGAACCACTGTAGGAAATGTTCACTTGGTCCGTCTGACAAAATACAAAAGGTCCACGCATTAATCTAAAAGCTGTGTGGAAGCTGTCGACTGTTGTCAAATGTCTACTTACTCTTTCAACGGAGAGTTCCTGATTCCCGTCAAATATTTTGCCAACTAAACAACAGTTTTTTTCAGCTTGTGTGTTGGAGCTGCACTAATATAGTGTTTAGCCACACCAGTGGCATGGCTCCAGGGATCGCAGTCCTTCACTTGGTAATAACTCCATCCACGACTCCTGACTTTTCATGTAGAAACACCATCAGGGAGAACTTGTCGTTTGCTGGGTTTGATTTATGATGAAATACAAACAAAATATTGACATTCCCATCAACCTCAGCTGTGCCCTGCTTTGTGTTTGGTGCTGTTTAGCAAATGTCAGAATGCTCGGCCTGCACCAGCGTTCAGGTTGGTGGTAGATCCACATGAACGACGGGACCGAACGCTTCCCAGTAGAACGTTGTAATGCCATTAATGATTCACTTCAGCTTTCAGTGGTTTTAATGTTGTGGCAGGTTGGTGTATTTGCTAAACATCAACATGCTGATCAGGCTGCATCAAGCAAAACTGTGGATTTTAGGAATTTTTAACTCTGATTATGTGGTAGGAATGCACATTTTCTTTACCTGAATCAGCCGCATTACAAATCAATTGCTGATTCATGGTTAACACAATCAAAGAGAATATTGTCCCTAATGCTGACACTGCTGTCGAATGGTCCATTGCTAGCTAAACCCCCATAATGCTCTCTGTTTGCCAACTCAGAACTGCCTGTAGCCTGAGCGGCCATCTCCTTGGGTCAATACAGTATCAATCATTAAGAGGCTTCACCTGGTGGAACAACGAGGTACTGCAGCACATCTACAACACACTGCTAAGAATTACTGCAGTAACTGAACCGTAAATAATTTTATATTATATCGATAAATGGCGATGAAATCTCTTGTATCGCATCACCAACAGTTGTGAAACTTATTAAACCGCACCACATTTTACGTTGCACGCAAAACCTGCTGAGATCTGTCGGCGCGGTTCCATGACTCAGCACAAAAATTAAGCACTCGACATCCAGACAGAGGTTGTGAACAGTTTAGCTGAAATGATTTGGTAGTAAACATGCAGGTGAACTGTGAAACAATCAGCCCGTCTGGTCTGCTGTACTTGCACACTTTGTTGTTGGCTGCTGGATTAGTATCAGCTTCTGGGGTTGGACTTACATAATTAAAGATAATAGATAATCTGGGTGATGCATGGGCCTGTTTAGCATTTGTCTGGTTGTCTGGCGACTAGCTTCTGTTCCTGGATCTCAACAATTACTTTCCTGACTGCAACGTTATCATAAATGATTCAATTAATAGTTAAAATTATAAAAAACCAAAAGATGTGGAGAACTGGAGGTATATCAACACCATTGTATGCATGGTGTGTTATTTTATGCTTATTATTTGTCTTGTAAACGCTGTACAGTCAGTGCTTATCAACAAAAAACAAGTCAATGTGTCAGCAGCACATACCTGCTGCCGCTAACGCACAGCTGACTGACTAACGCTCAGTGACTGACTCTCTAACCCCTAAATGCAAAGCCATGCTGAGCTGGCCTCTCATCCCACACCTTCCTATTTGTTTCATTTCAATCTGTTGCCTCCCTCCATCACATCTCCGACTCCCACACTGCCTTTCTTTCTTTCCCTCTCTTTTCGTTGACATTCTCTCTTTCTGTCCCCCCTCCTTGCTGCCTAAAACCTTCTCCATATCCACCCACACCTTCTCAATCAAATTAGCATATCAATTCAGCTTTGGGTTTTTTCTTTTAAAGCAGCAACAGCAGGAGTATATGGCTGGATACTGTACAGCCCACATAGCTCCTCATGTTACATCTCTGCTCCGTCTGCCTGTTTACTACCCACCCTGTTGTTATCATCGCTCACTCTCACAATCAGCGGCCGCTATGTGCTCAGCAGGTACCGTATATTTCTTTTGGCGAGGAGGACGGGAGATCTATAAGGAGCAGGATTCCTTCCAGTCTGAGTTTTCCCTCATCTTAAGTGCTCCCCTTTGTGAGTGTTACACATTTACACAGCACCGGTGGCCAAAAACAGACGTTTACAGGCAAAAGAAAATACAGCTGACACGCAAAACATGGTGGAACTTTATTTTCCTATAAGAAGATGCGGTGACTCACGAACACGTACGGCGTGTTTTGAATCGTGTCAGCTTTCGTTCGGCTTTGGGGATGTTATGTAACTGCCTTCTAGCTGGATCACATAGGCTAAGGCTCCAATCAATTAGCGTTCGCCGCCCGAGTGCCAAGAGTAAGATGTACCCGCACAGAGGAGTGTAAATCACACAGGACTCGGCTGCATGTGCCATGTGCACACGGCGACGAGCGAAACAACCGCCAGAGAGGACGATTAACAACAAAACAACACACAGTTCATGTGTGTGCGAGTGAAAATGAAAAAAGAAGGCGACTATATCCATCTCTCTGACAAAGGGTTGTGTTGGAAATAGATGATTTTCACATCACACACGTTTGTTCATTTACATATTCTGATTAACTCGGCGCTTTGTGTGATTGAATTGCCTCGCTGTGATGTATAATTTGTTCTCAGGTCTCTCTTGTTAAAGAGATCTTAATCTCAGTGAGAGTTGCCGAATAAATAAACATTATGAAGACATTTTTTATTCTGTCTTTTTGATGTGACAACCAGCAGCTACTTTACCATTGTGGGTTTTTTTTTTACATTTTTCAGTCCAGCAACATGTTCGTGTTTAGACATACGGCAGTCAGCCACAACATTAAAACCACCTGCCTCTTGGCGCCCCCTTAGCTCACCGAGTTGAGCAGGCGACCCATGAACAGGGCGATAGTTTATAGTCCTGCTCACGACCCTTTGCTACAGGTCGTCCCCCCTTTTCCTGTCTCACTATCCTGACTAATAAAGGCAACAAGGCCAGAGAAAATTATTCTAAAAAACAAAAACACACCTGCCTCATGCGGTCGTCATGAGGTCTCCTTCATGCTGCCCAGACAGCTCTGACCCATCAGGGCATAAACACAGGACCTCCATGTAGTGTAGCCCTGTGATAGACTGGTTACCTGTCCAGGTGAACCTGCCTTCACCCTGAGTCAGCTGGGATAGGCTCCGCCCCCCATGACCCTGGTGAGGATTAAGCGGTGGATAGATAATGGATGGATGGATGATTAGTGTTATATACGTCACCGGTGAGCGTTTCAATATTGCTGCTGATTGGTTTATACTGAACACACGTCGGTTCTACAGTGACTCGCCGTATCAGCAGCCACACTGTCAGAATTTGTCATATTTGTTAACTGGCTCAAGAAATATTGATTTAAGAGATTTAATGTCTTAGAAAACGCTGGCCGGAGCCATGTGGCTGTGAAACCAGGTGACAGAGCTTCACTATGCACTGTTATGATGTTTGTCAAAATGCTGTTCCTGTGGTTTCTCTGCATTTAAACAATAATGATATGAAACACTAACACAGTCCATCACATGTCTCTGAGCTTCTGTTTTATGTAGCAACACTGCAGCACGATGCACCTTTGTGAAGCTTTGTTTATCTACGTGGTCATGATCTACTAATGCATACATACAGAACTCATTTTAGGGTGTTTTAGGTAAAACATGACATTGTCTTTATATTAACCCACCCGACAAAAATCTAGTGGCAGCTATGAGCGCGACCGTGACAAGATATCTGTAAATAATTGCTTTCAGTGGCACCCAGATTATAATTATGATTGTGTCTCTCTCCACGCTGCCTGTCTGCTCTCGCCTCTTTCCTCCAGCTGCAGCCAGAGCCGGGGAGGATGACAGGGAAATGGCTTTGTCTGGTGTTGGACAGGTCTGCCACCGAGTGTTTCGCAGAGAAAATAAAAAGAAAGACGGAGAGAAAGTTGTTTATAAGAGAACATCAGTTAAAGTGCTGCCTTCTGTTCTCGCCATCCCTCTCCTCACTCCCCTCCTCTGAGTTTCTCTTTCATTTATTTCATTGCTCTTTTTTCT